ATATATAGTAGGTGCTCAATAAAGCTTTGTTGAATGGATGAATGAATGAGTGAATGAATGGATTTTAGGAATCCAGGCTATTCCCCCCGCTGGAAGTAACCTTTTTCCTTCTCCTGTTTCTAAGCTAAGCTCCATCCCTTCATCCCACTGTGGCCTGTCCCCGTGCTGGCTGCTGTGTCACATGCTTGTCATGGGCCCTCTGCACTTGGGTGAGGTCATGGGTTCTGGCAGGATACCAGAGCTGCAGGTCAGAACTTGCTCTGTCAGTGTAACCCAGGTGCTAGCAGAACTCAGGGTACTTGTCCAGGCTCTCCAAAGGCTGCAGAGACCTGCATGCATACAGGATGCTGGGGCACCTGTCAGGCCTTCCTCACTCTTGGTCTGTCCTTGCTCTGCTCCAGCCCTCATGTGGCATAGCAGTCCTGCCGATGGGCATTGTCCTCCCTGCCGTAGCCTCACCTAGTGCTGACAGTGGCTCCACACACCCACAGCATGAATGCTAGCACCCTTGACTGATGCCAGGGCCTTCGTCGGGTTGGTCACAACCTTCTGCTTCCGTCTTGTTTTCCATTATACACCCCTACGCCTGACAAAAATTGGATAGCCATACACTGGATAAATCTTTATTGAATGTTTTCTATGTGCCTGGCTTAAGGTTTCGTGCTGGGATTTCCAAAGTAGAAGACAGTCTACTGTCAGTGAGCTCACGGTCCGGTGGGCTAGAAGGTTGAGGCTGGAAGCAGGCGGTGACAGCATCCCATAATTAGTGCTGTCGGGGAGGAAGCCCAGGTTGCTCTGGGGGCCTTAAGGAGAAAGCGCTTGCCTTCTTTTTTTTTGCACTTCTTATCAGTAAGGAAAAGCTTCTAGCACATCTGGGAGGCCTCATGAGTAGAGCTGTGATTTTCAAGGCTGCAATATTTCTTCTGATTCTAGAGGATTTAATTCTTGTTTTTTTTTTTAACCTCTGAGTTGAACCGCATCCAAATGTCAACATCAGAAGAATGGGAAGTTCTTGAACATGTTTAAACTGTGAAGCCCATAGAAGCCAGATCATTCTTTTGTGGAACTACAACAAAAATTTCTTTTTTTTTTGAGATGGAGTCTCGCCTGCAGTGGCACGATCTTGGTTCACTGCAACATCTGCCTCTTGGGTTCAAGCAATTCTCCTGCCTCAGCCTCCTGTGTTGCTGGGACTACAGATGTGCGCCACCGTGCCCAGCTAATTTTTGTATTTTAGTAGAGATGGGGTTTCACAATGTTGTCCAGGCTGGTCTTGAACTCCTGACCTCAGGTGATCTGCCTGCCTCAGACTCCCAAAGCGCTGGGATCACAGGCATGAGTTACCTCATCCGACCTCTTTTTAAGTAACAGTATATTCAGCCTTAAATTAACCTAACTGTATTAAATCAGAGACCACTGGATCCTTGTTCTTGCTATGGTTTTAACATGTCCCCCAAAAGTTCATGTGTTAGAAACTTAATCCTCAATGTGACCATGTTGGGAGGTGGGGCTACGAGGGGGAGTCCTCACGAATGGATTCATGTTATCATGTGGGTGTGCTGTTATCCATTGATTCTGTCCTCTGATGCTTCTCTCTTTGTGTCTCACGTGGTTGCTTGCCCTTTTACCCTGTTATAACACAGCAAGAAGACCCTCACCAGATGCCAGGCAGATGCTGGGGCCATGCCCTTGGACTTCCCTGCTTCCAGAACTGGGGAAATAAATTTCTTTTCTTTATAAATTACCCAGTCTCAAGTATTCTGCTATAACAGCAGAAAACAGACTAAGACAACTCTCATGTAGACAACTCGTAGCAGGAGTCAAAGGTTTAAGGAAAATGTTGAGACCTCAAGTCCTAAGTGGGGAGTATTCTACACTCAATCTTCAGATTGGGAAGGTTGGGGGTGTTTATGTATGTTTAGGGGTCGGACTCCTGCTCTAGGAAACAGAATTTGAGAGCTCTGGGTCCCAGAATCAGGCCAAGCCTCAAAAACAATAGCCCTGGGCCATCAGGGCTCTGCTGGGCTCCCAGCTCTCCTTCCTGCTGTGCTGCTTCCATTATGACGTTGGCCAGCTCATCCCTCCCACCCCATCAGCACCTCCTGATCATTCTTAGAAAGAGAATGAAGCAGGTAACATTCTTAGAAAGGGAATGATCCAACATGGGCTGGAGCGAGACTGCCTGATTCAACTCCAGCCTCTGTACTTAATAGCTGTGTAATCTTAGACAAGCCCTCTGTGCCTCTATGTCTCAGTTGCCTTATCTATAAAATGGATATAATAACAGCACTGACCTTAATGGTGCTGGTGAGGATTAACTGAGCTACTACAGGGGTCTACAGATCTTTTCTGTGAAGGGACAGATAGTAAATATTTTCAGTGTGCACCGTTATTCACCCCATGCCTGACAAAAATCAGATAGCCATCCACTGGATAAATCTTTTTTTTTTTTTTTTTTTTTTTTTTTCCAGACAGAGTCTTGGTCTCTTGCTCTGCCACCCAGGCTGGAGTGCAGTGGCACAGTCTCGGCTCACTGCAACCTCCGCCTCCCAGGTTCAAGCGATTCTCCCACCTCAGCCTCCCAGGTAGCTGGGACTACAGGGGCCCGCCATCATGCCTGGCTAATTTTTGTGTTTTTAGTAGAGATGGGGTTTGACCATGTTAGCCAGGCTGGTCTCGAACTCCTGACCTCAAGTGGTTCACCCAACTCGACCTCCCAAAGTGCTGGAATTACAGGTGTGAGCCACTGGGCCCAGCTGATAAATCTTTACTTAATGTTTACTATGTGCCTGGCTCAAGATTAAGTGCTAGGATTTCCAAAGTAGAAGACAGTCTACTGTCAATGAGCTCACAGTCCAGCAGAGTTGGGAGGGGTGAGCCCGGTAAGCAGCCAGTGACAGCATCCTGTAGTTAGTGCTACGGGGGAGGAAGCCCAGGTTGCTCTGGGAGCCTCCAGGAGAAGGTCCAGGATCAGGTGCAATTTTCAGGGCCAATGACAGGTGAGCCAAGGAAAAGGGAGAAGGACCCGGCAGGGAAGGGGGTCCCAGGCAGAGGGAGCAGCAAAAACAAAGGGGAGAGGGGAGACTGGCTCAGTATGGTGAATGTGAGTGGTAGAGGGTTGGAGGGGTAAGGAAAAGCTTCTAGCACTTCTAGGAGGCCTCAGGCTCTGTCACAACTACTTCATGCTGCCATTGTATCATAAAAGTGGTCATGGACAACATGTACATGATGGGCGTGTGTTCCAATAAAATGTATTTATAAAAACAGGCAGGGAGCTGGATTTGCCCTGATGCCTATAGCTCGCTCGTCCATGAGTTAATAACTGAAATAAGTACTTATCATGTAGTAACACTGAACCAATGTTAGCAATTATTATTCAATCATGAATCAGCTAAATATTTGAGCACCTACTCTGTGCCAGGCCCTGTTCTGAGTGCTGGGGATATAGCCATGAACAACACTGACAAGGTTCCTGCTCTCGGGGAGCTTCCATTCTAGTTGGGGGAGACAAAAATAAACAAGGAAACGAGAGAAAATACCAGTTCGTGGTACGTGCTATCTTAAAACTAAAGCAGGGACTGTGATAGTGATGTCAGGGTGGACTACATCACTGTGGTGGCTAGCAAAGGCCTCTTGGAGGATGTAATGTTCAAGCCAAGACCAGTCTGATGGGAAGGAGCCAGTTCTGTGGCAACTGCAAGAACAGAAATCCAGGCAGGACAAAGCAGCTCAGGCTCCTGCTTCTGCTTTTGCCCTTAGCCCAGCTGCGAACCAGAGGCAGGGTCTGCAATGCTGGGAGGGCCAGGAGGAGAGGGGGACAGCAAAGAGAGGACAGAAAGGAACATCTCGGATCTTGCAACTCTGGGTGCTGCAGACGCTGTGGGAGGGGGTGTTTCTCTTCACTCTCTAGGTCCTTAGCCCATCTCTCAGGATACATCCCTTTTCTTAATATCCTGGCCCTCAGGCCAACACCCCTCTCTCCTTTCTCCTCCATTCCCCTCACCAATTGGCTGAAAGCCCTCAGCCTAGGCATGGCAACATCTCTGCTTCGCACATCTGTCTCTGAGTCCCAGGCTTGCTTGAGCCAGTTTACCCATTACTTAAAGCGGGAGGTGCCACCCAGCTGGTGAGTAGGACAGTCTGTAGCTGCTTCCTCCTGTACAAGGGGTGTTTGGAATTCCATACACAGAGAATGAGGTGGGTTTCACTGGAGCCGCTCCCGGACACAGGTTTGCTTGCATTGTTCTCTGGTTCAATGTTTCCTAAGCTCTTTTCTGACTGAGAAAGCACCTCTGTGCATGTGATTTCTGGCCCCTGCAGATGCTGCAAGCCCCCCTTCTTTCCCGCCCTTTACCCCCAGTGTGCAGCCTTCTCTTATTAGTTGAACATTCTGGCTTACATGGAATTCTAGAGGATGGTCTAGCCTAGGAACCAGACCACACAGGTGATGTCGCTCTTCTACAGAGAACAAATCCGCAACTCCAACAGCTTCTGGAGCTGGAGGCAGCCTGCTGAGGTTCCTACCACAGTGGTTTCTCACTTGCAGCTTCTACACCAGAGGGACATGTTTCCTGACCTGGTCCCAGCCTCTACTTATGCCCTTCTGGGTAGCACTCTGTCCCTCCTTCAATTCTCACTTCCTTTAGACACCTTCCCAGACTGTGTCCCCAACTCGGATGTCCCCTGGTTCCAGCATCTCCCTCCAGATGCGAGCCTCAGCCCTGGTTCCAGCATCTCCCTCCAGATGCAAGCCTCAGAACCAGCCCTAATTGGTGTGCCCTTCTCACCCTGACCTGCCTGGCATGGGGGGCTGAAATGGCACCTCCTCTCTCTGTGTCCCTCCCATCTCCTCGGCTGGCTGTGAGAGGGTTCCCTGGGCTGCCTGACTCACCAGCGAATGGTGCTGTCAGGCTGGCTGTCATGTGGCATGGTGGGTCCCATGGGCGGGTGGGTAGCATGGGGTGGGGTCAATGTGTCCTCCAACCCATTTGGGAGGCCTCCACTACCCCAGCTCTTTGCTGTGCTGCGTTGCTATTTTGGTACCCAGGAAGCTGGCCGGAGAAGGGAAAGTCTGACCCCTCTTCCTGTCAACAATGACTTTCTGCTTGGAGCTGACCCCTCTGGGGTGAGTCACCAGGAAGGGCAATCCGCCTCTGCCGAGGGGAGGAGGAACCCTGGGAGGGGAGGCTCACTGTCCAGGGTCACTGAGGCTTCTGGCTAGACCAGGGTCTTACTGCTAAAGAAGGGGTTTAGAATAGTCTGCTGCTGACCCCCAAAAGTGGGGGTAGTCTCCAAATCCCTCCCCTCTCTCCTCCCTGCCCTGCAGTTTCACCTGCAGGTCATACCAGATTGATGTTGTTAAACAGAGCTGTGACCATGTCACATTTTGATTATAATCTTCAGAGGCTCCTTGTTGCCTCCAGAATAAAGTCCAAATGCCCTCGCTTGGCCCCAACCTCCTCTTTGACCTCCTCACCTTCTGCTCCTTCATGCCTTCTGTTCCATCAGGCTGGCCTCCTTCGCTGCCGCATGTGACACAGCACACACGGCCGTCTCCACAATTCTGCCTTTGCCATGCCCTTCTCCATCATCCTCCTCCTTGGAATGCCTTTTCCTTTCCAGATGCACCATTCCCATTTCCATTTCCACATCACCCTTCCATCTATTCAAAAAATATTTAATGAGCACCTTCTGTGTGCCAAGTCCAGTGCTATGAGCTGAAGTTTCCACCTCCGATGAGCTAAACAAGCACTCATGGGCCTGTCAGGCTTGCAGAGGTACAGAGACATACTCAGGCACTTGCAATGTAGCACCTGGGAGGGACACTTCACCCACCTTGAGATCACGGAAGGTGGCTGGAGGAGGTCACACCCCTGCTGATTTCCTGGCGAGTGAGTAGGAGGTAGGTGGGTAAGGGAACAAGGGCTGGAGGCTAGCAGCAAAAATGTGTGGACCAGAGGAACCAGAAAGTAGGAAGACCTCAGTCAAGAGTCAGTGCATTCTAGGAACGGAAAGTTGGTCATAAAATTTGGAGTAGAGGGTGTGAGGTGGGTGGTGAGAAGAGGCGGGGAGTGGCCCAGTGGTCCCTCACAGTTTGATCTTTATCCTAAGAGCCATGAGAAGCCAGTGAATGGTTTATAGCAGAGGTTCCCGGTGTGCAAAATTTCACCTTGGAAAGTCCAGTGTGACTGGAGTGGGGACCACAGATTGGAGGAGGGTGAGCTGCAGGTGGAGAGACTCTACATGGGAAGAGTTTACATGGTCTGGGCCAAGATCATGGGGGTGTGAGTCGTGTTCCCCTTCACCCTCCAGCCACATTCGCCTTCTTTACGAGCTCATTTTCCAACTGGGGCCATGCACTTGCTCTTTCCTCTGCCTGAAACACTCTTTCCCTTGACACTCACATGACTTGCGCATCCAAATAATCCAGGTTTCTGTCTAGAGTGGACCCTGACCCCCATCATTCTCAATGTGCTTCCCTTGCTTTAATTTTAATCTTGGCATTTATCATTCCCCGACTGATAGATCGTAGGTTGTGCATGTGTTTTTCTATCTCCATCACTAGGATGAGACCTCCCTCAGGGGAGGGGTTTAGTCTGCCTTCTTTGCCTTCAGTTTGGAGGTGCCTGAGGCATGCCCAGAGTGGACACCTAGTAGACACTGGTGACGGGATGCAATTGGGAGCATCTGACTCACCAGGAAGCACCATAGCTGCACCTGCAGCAGGGAACGGGACGGTGGGGGTGACAGCAGAACTGCAGTCAGAACAGAACACCTCTGCCTCAGGGAGAGGAGAGGAGCCCGCAGAGGAAGAAAGAAGGATGGTCAGAGAGTGGACCTCATACAGGTGCTGTGCTTTGTGTCCCGGATGGGCGCTTTAGGTTGTGTGGTGCAGCACCGGGGTGCCAGCGAGTGGAGGTTCCCAACAGGAGGAGCGGACCAAAAGCATCACAAGCCTCAGAGAGCTGGAGGCTGCCAAAGCCCCTGGGGGAAGCCCACTGCAGCTTCCAGTGTGTGCAGACAGACTCCAGGCGCAGTAGGGAGGCAACGAGGAGTTTGGCTGAGGAGAGATGGAAGAAGGGGAGCCCTGTGGTGAATAATGACCACAGCCTCTTGACTGCTCTCCTGGCCCCGCTTTGCCAGCAAATTCTCCACGCAGAGGAATCTTTTAAAAACATAAATCAGATCATGCCACTCCCTTGTTCAAAACCATTACTTAGAATAAAATGCAAGCTCCCTAAAGTGACAAACAAGGCCCTAGGAGACCTGGCCTTACCTTGTCCTCTGACCTAATTTCCCTGGAACTGTGTCCTGCTCACTCCACTCCTGACCCTCAGACTCCTTGCTGGTCCCTGAGCAAGCTGCTCCCTGCCTCAGAGCACTGGCTGGCACTGCTCCCTCTGCCTGGAAGGCCCTCCCAGACATTGTCACCTGGCCATTCCCTTCACCACATCCAGGCCTCTGTTCAAATGTCACCTCCTCAGAGAGGCTCTTGCTGAGCATCCTAAGATAGAACTCTCCACTCTCTGTCACCTTTCCTTATTTTTTGCATGGCAGGCAATTGTATTTATTATGTATTACATGTTTGTGTATTTGCTGGCTTCCTTCCTGTTCATCTTCCCCACTAAAGTGTGAGCTCCAGGAGGGCAGGGGTTTTGTCTGCTTTGTTCACTCTACATTCTTAGCCCACAGAACAGCACATAGCACATACTGAGCACATAATAAATGTGCCGAATGGATGTTCGACTAATGAACAACAGTCTCTAAAGCAAATTTGCAAAGAGTCTAACATGCAATGGCTCAGCACAACAGTTTTGGAAAGGGGCATCCCCATTTTGCAGAGGAGCAAGCCTGGACTTGGAGTAGCTGAGCAACTTGGCCACAGGCAGAGCCTGAGCTTACTGGATTGCAGGCCGTGACCACAAACCAGCTCTTCTTACCCAACTCGGGGACCCTTTCAGAGAGGAACAGTCTAGGCCCACTCTCCACCTTCTCCTAGTTTCAGTGGAGAGATGAGAAGACAATGAGGGGAATAAAGAAGTCCAGGGAGGAGTGCTCGGAGGAGAGGAGGAGGAGGAACCCAAAGGAGCCGGCTGCTGAAGGGGAGGGCATCTGTCTTGGCTCCTTGCCAAGGCATGAGGAGAGAGGCTGTCCTGTGAGTAAGAATTCCATGCCCTACATCCTAAGCTAAAGGGCACCTTGGATCCCAAAGACCACTTCTATCTTCAAGGGATGAGCAGGGATTTGCCTCAGGATGGGAGGGCCCTCCCTAAGGAAGCCCCGACCCTCTGGAAACTTCTCCCTTTCCACCTCCCCACCACCCGATGCAAGCTTCTGGGAATTCCCCACTTCCTGGTAGGAACTGGAGAGCCCTGGGGAGATTTCCCTCAGCCCTGGAATTCAGGACACTTTCCTGTTTTCATAATAATGTCTTCACCCTCTGCATACCTACCCCTCCCCGATACAAATTGGTGGCGGGCGGGGAGGTGGAGGAAAGAGGTTCCACTGGCGGACCCTCCCTTACTACCCAGCCCAGGAGCCAATAATTTCTCCCCAGGAGAAATCAGAAGCTGCCTGTCAGCTTCTTGTTTGGGGCTCACACTGAGGGAATAGTCCCCCTTGTCCTTTATTTGAGATGAGTGACTCAATGGCTGACACCACAACTGCTGAATCTACAGCCTCCAAAACCATGTCGGGGTCCAGTCTCCAGCCAGGGCAGGAGGCATTCTGCTGGTGCATCTCAGCGTGCCCCCATGCTGTCCCAGTGAGTCACTCCAGCCTGGTCCCTGGAGTTCTTGGCCCTGTCTCTGCTTGCTGGAAGTGTCTCTTCCCTGTCCCTTTCCTGGCAGTGTGTAGGAAAGAATGATGGACAACAGGCCAAGGCTGGGAGGTCTTGTTCAGTCAGAAAGCCTCAGGGAGCCCAGCCGGGATGAACATCAGCTTGCTGGCATCTGGGGTCTAGACGGCAGTCACATGAGTCGTGCGCACTTGTCTAGTCTGAGACACATCCCAGGCCAACTGTTTGCTCGTGGGTCCCCAGAGCACCTGCTACTTCCGGGAAGCTCTCTCATAACTCATTTCAGCAAACTCCCAATCTGCCAAGGCTTCACGACAAGGCGCTGGAAGGGAGAAGAATAAAAGAATGGAGAAGACAGAGCTCCTGCCTTCCAGGAGTCTAGAGGCCCATCCTAACAGTCATCACTGTGCTTTTAGATGTGCCAGGCTCTGGAGATGAGGTGTGGGGACTCAGTGATAAGTAAAACATTTCTCTGAATTTCAGTAATTTAGATTGCAGCTGGGGAGAGAGACATATAAACTGGTAATTCTACTACATGGTGGAATTACCTGAAAAGCCAGGCAGCTCCTCCCTGCAGCCTGAAATGTCATCTTCCCCTAGGAAGTCTTCCCTGACCCTCGTCCTTCAAGCATCACAGCATACACCACTAAGCTGTGTCATTGCCTAGCAGCCTAGCAGCAACCCCCATCCCCCTGCCACCAGAACATGAGCACTCCGAAGGCAGGAATTGGCCTTCTGTCTTTGTGTCCTCAGTGTCTCACACAACTAAACATATTTATAGATAAGTGTTACCTGAACCACTTCTAAACAGTTGACTGCAATACAAGGCTGACAATGTATGCTAAACAGAGATTTGACATGCTGGCTTTGTTGTAGAGAAAGGGCTGATTAATTCTAAATGATGAGGATAAAAAAGGCACCAAAGAGAAGGTGTGACTGCGGCTAAGCCCTACGGGATGCACAGGCTCTTGCCAGCCAGAGAAACAGGAGGAGGGCATGAGTCAGGAAAGTACATGGCTTGTTACAGCTAACATACAAAAGCCCACAGGAACTGGCGCATAGGACATGGAAGGAGGAGATGTAGGTGGTCAGGCGAGGAGGAGTCTTGGTACCGTGCTAAGCAAGGAGTGTCGTCTTTGTTCTGTAGACACAGAGACCCTCTGAGAAGGTTCCATGACAGGAGTCATCTAAACTAACCCGCATTTTGCAAAGGCTGTGCTGATGGCTGTGGGGAGGGTGTATTTTGGAGAGTGCATTTCTAGGAGTGTCCTCTCTTTGGCCTCTCTCCCCTGGAAGGGGGAGCTGGGGAAAGTTGAGGGGAAAGTGTGGAGCAGATAAATCAGTTAAGAAACAATGTAATGTTAGCAGACTGATGGCAATAACATGAATCAGAACAGGCACAGTGGGAATAAATAGAAAGAGGCAGAGTTGGTGACATGGGAGTGAGACTGAATTATCTACACAGAGTGGCTGGGAGGACATGAGAGAGGAGCAGGCTCCGGGAATGGGGGAAGGGGAGGAGGCATTCCATTCTGGGCTGCCATCAGCATGGGAGTAGAGGAAGAATCTTAGATTTTCTCAATCCTGATTCATCTTGATAACAAGCTATGTGAGGGCTCTGAGGAACCCACTTTGCACAAAGCTTACACAAGTGATAAAATCTCTTCCTATTATGGAAACATCTCACAGATCCCTCCCAGTTTTAACTATCACCACACCACGTACACCCACCACCACAGCAACCCACGTGGTTGAGACACAGTGGGGTGTTGCCAAGAGAGGTAAGATGTAGTGTGTACAGGGAGCCCCTGCCATCATTGGGATGACTTCATGTCCGTGAGAGTGGCAGCCCACACCCTAGCCTCTCAGCTGCTGGCTTTCCCCATCTCTGACAACCTTCTGTCCCACTGTGACTTGGCCACCCACTCCCATCACCACTCCCTAGACTTAGTCACCACCCAGAACTCCCTCACCTCTGAAATCACTAATCCTGACGGCCTTCTCTATCCTCTCAGCTTCTCTACTCAATCACTTTGTCTCCTCCTGACCTCTAACCCCATCAGGTGCCCCATCCATGGACCCCTCTGTTTTCTTTCAATCCAGCACCCTGCTTCTTCCTGCACTCTCTTTTCTCATACCTGAGATGCACAGCTCAGAATTTTATTCATTGTCTCCTATAACATAAATTGCACCTTGTTGCATCACCTGCCAAAATTCCACTGGTGGATGAAGCAGCTGTCCTTCCTCTGAACTGCACTGGCGTAACAGGTGATTCTGCAGGAGAAGGCCACAGCAGCAAGCTAGCCAGGTCCTCCAGCACTGTGACCACCAAGCTCAACTGGGTCCTCAGTGCTGCCTGCCATGCCTTTTCTAGTCCTGGAAAAACCACCCTGGTAGACTGTATCCCTGTCCTCAAACTTTCCACATCTGTACTTCTTCTGAATTCTCAGCCGATGCTATCTCTTGCTCCTTTCAAAGATAAGACAGAAGCCAGCTGGGCGCGGTGGCTCACGCCTGTAATCCCAGCACTTTGGGAGGCCGAGGCGGGTGGATCACCTGAGGTCAAGAGTTCAAGACCAGCCTGGCCAACATGGTGAAATCTTGTCTCTACTAAAAATACAAAAAAAAAAAAATTATCTGGGCATGGTGGTCGCACCTATAGTCCCAGCTACTTGAGGAGGCTGAGGCAGGAGAATCGCTTGAACCCAGGAGGTAGAGGTTGCAGTGAGCCAAGATTGTGCCACTGCACTCCAGCCTGAGTGACAAAGGAGGACTCCATCTTAAATAAATAAATAAATAATAAATAAATAAGACAGAAGCCTTGAGGCAGTGAGTCTTGGGCCATCCTGCAGCTTCTCCTATCTACCGGCTGTGCAGGTCCTCTCCACTTTGCCTCCTGGTTTAATGGAAGGCACACACTCTTCTATCTAATTTGCGCACTTAGCTTTTGGATCCCAACCCTTGCTGCCATCTCAGGGACCTGGCCTGTCCCCTCTTTCCCTTTATCTTCAACGTCTCCCTCTTTACTCTCAGCTCCCCATCATTTAAACACATTCAAGTCTCTAATGTGAAATCAGGCCCTCCCTTGATTCTATCTCTTCCTCCAATGATTACCCTCTCCTTCCTAGGAAAACATCTCAAACACTTTCCATTTATGCCTCAACTCACTGTGATAGATTTTTCCTCCCTCACAAAATATAAATAAACTGCATCCAAACTACTAATGACCTTCTCCATACATTCAGTGAACAGTTTTAGCCCTCGCGTGTTTGAATTTTCCACTGAGGGTTACTTCTTCTTTCTCCTACCCTTGGCTTCCGTTACACTTTCCTGTTTGTCCTCCTCTACCCAAACCCTAAATACTGGACTTACTGAGACCACCCTAGACCTGTCTCCTCTGTTTATTGCCCCTGAGCCACCCCTTGCACTCCTAATGCTTCAAGTGCTGCTCTAGGCTGGCAGCTATGAAGCACACCTCTCTTCTAAACCCCTCCCGAGCTTCAGATCCACAGGTTCAATTGCCTGTAGGGTTGTCAGATTTAGCGAATAAAAACACAGGATGTCTAGTTAAATTTAATTTCAGATAAACAATGGATGCTTTTTTAGTATGACAACGCCCAATGTAATAGGACATATTTGTACTAAAACATTATTTGTTGTTTATCTAAAATTCAGGTGTAACTGGGCATCCATATTTGATCTGGCAACCCTGCATGACTTGACACCTTTATGTGAGACCCCCCGCAGCAGCTCCACTCAGTGTCTCCACAGCTGACTTCCCATGAAACAAACTCAACCATCCTCTGCATTGTACAAATGAAAAATGCTACGTCAGTCCTCCAGTCCCAACACCAATCACTCAGCCAGGTTTATCTGAATCCTGAATGTCAACAGGAATGAGCTCCTCTGTTCTTCTTTAGCTCCCAAATCCTCTAAAATATCCCTAAAATCTGACCTCTTCTCTCCAGCAACAGCCATCATCCTAGTCAAGGCCACTCCATCTTTTACCTGCTACACCATCCTGGCTGGTCTCTAGTACGATTGCCACAAACAGCCCAATGGTCTTATTTAAATTCATATTTTATCATGGATGTCACTGGTTTAAATTCTGAAATCCGAAACCCTTACCAGGGTCCTAATGCCTGCCTTACCAGGGTCCCGACACCCTGCCTAATGTGTCCCTTGCTCACCTCTCCCTCCTGTTTCTGGGACATTCTTCCCCTTTCTCAATGCTCCACAGCCACACTGAGCTTCTTTCAGTTCCTCGAAAGTGCTACTCTGGCCTTGGGTCTTCCCTCATGCTGGTCCCTCTCCCTGGAACAATCCTCTCCTCCTCTCCCTCTTTTCTTCTTAGTTAATGATAATCCCTTAGGTCTCAGGCTCTGTCCTTTGCTCTCCCTCAATCCTATTTTTCCCTTGTGGATCACTTGTCACCCTCTAATGGCCTGGCCAATGCCTGGTTCTCTGTTAGACTGTGAGTGCCACAAGAGCAGGACTCTGTCTTCTCTATTGGATTCTGAGCCCCTGGCATAGTCCCTGGCACAGACAAGGAGCTCAATTAATGCTTCAAGGATAAATAAGGGAGTAGCTTTTCTCCCCATTCAGCCTTGGAGGTCTCCTCTTACCTTCCTGTGAGCTCTCAGTGCAGAGCATTTGTTAAAACTGAATGTTTTCAAATAGATTTAGAATTTACACACCATGATGTGCCTAAGTGGGGGTGTCAATCCTCCAGTCCCAACACCAATCACTCAGCCAGGTTTATCTGAATCCTGAATGTCAACAGGAACGATCAGAAGGCAGAGTGACCAGAGACAAGAGGGAGGACTGGCAGCCTCCTGCGGGGAGATGGCGGGGCTGATGCTGGTGAGCGGAAGTGAAGGTACAGCAACCCAGGCGGCTTCATCTCCCCGCCTGGCTACTGAAGTGCGGCCTCCAGCAAGGCTCTCCCAAGTCCCATGGAAGACTCCAGAACAATGGGTGTGTTGAGCTTGGGGATTGTGGAGGGCATCCAGTTGTACCTATTCAGCAGGCTGTTACAAACGAGGGCCTAGAATTGAAGGATGATCAGGCTGAAGGTGTAGATTTAGGATTCACCAATAAGCAAGTGACCATCAGAGCTGTGTGAGTAGTGAGCATCCCTAGGGAGATCATGGGGATGTCCAAGCAGAAGGTACTATTGATAAAACTTGGGGACACCTGATTTAAGGGGCTTAGGAAGAAGAGTAAACTAAACCAGAAATGGGGAAAGAGGAACTAGAGGCCTCGAGGGAGAACCATGAAGGTGCAAAGGCCGGAAGCCAAGGGGGTAACTTTTAAAGAAGTGAAGCTTGAGCAACATGGTCAGCTGCCCCAGAAAGGGTGAACGCTGAGAAGTGGCTCCCAGGGTTGGAAAAAAGGACGTCAGACATGACCTTTGAAGAGAAAAATTAGCTCATCTCTCCTGTCCCAGCTCCTTCTACCTTTCCTCTGATAGCACCTCTGTGGGCAGGGGCAACGCTGCCCCTCCCTGCCCATTTCTACAAGTGGAAGAACTGTTTCTGATTTGGGGAATGGTCAGAAAGAGAGATAAAGTCAATTCCATTCAAGCAAGGTCACGGCTTATATGTCCAGTTTCCAGAACCTGGGACTGTGATGAGGAAGGCAGGGGTCTGGTCCCCAACCTTTGGAGGCTTACAAGCTAATGGGATCTCTAGGCACTGCTGCTGCTCAGTCCTGCCCTTCTTAGACCAGGGTTCTTCCCGGCTGACCCCCTGGGTCCTGAGAGGGCTCCTGCAGGCTACATCCTTCTCTTTGCCCTCTCTTGCCGTCACCCACTCTTCTGCCTGGAGTTTGCTTCCCACTCTTCCTGCTCGGATCCCCACATCCTGCCTGCAGAGATGGTCCCCAGTCTCCAATTCGTTCTACCTCCCAGGACAAGCCTACAACATCCTTTACTCACATCGCCTTCAGGGAAACAAACAGCAAAACAAGCAGAACATGCCCACCCCAGATGGGGAGTTATGAAGCCTGACACCCATCCAAAGCTCCTGCAGCTAGATATGGCTCCTGGCTTTGATTCTGACCCCCTTGGGGACCTCAGTGGATTCTGACCCATGAATTTTTTCCTGAGGGTAAGGTCCCCTTCTTTTCTCCACCATAACTCAACTCCTCCAGTGGCCCCCTCACCTCCAGCGGGTATCCTATTCCTTGGAGCCTTCATGCAGGGGGGAACCCCATTCCTCAGAGCTTCAGAGTCATCCAGGAATGTCCCACAGGAGGTATTTTCTCCTAAAAGGACGCAGGACAGATTAATCTCTTATAATAATATTTTGTAAATATCACTTTATCATAACATTTTCCTGCTCAAAGCCTGTGGCCTAGAAGCTGGGGGAGGTGGCGGGGGGCTTCTTCACTGGTGCTTCAGTCCCTCAGGGTGCCTCAGGCTCGGGGGGAGAAAGTGCTTTCCTTTGATCCTTTGGGAGGAGAGTCCACCTGTTTCTCTGCCTCAGTGCTCCCAGAACACCCTCCTGGACTCCCAGCACAGGAGGAATGAGAGTTTGGACAGTGAGGAGAGAGTGTCAGGAAGTTAAGAATGAGCTTAGAAGATCTTCCTGTCCTGCCTTGGCTCCTGCGTGGCCAACTCCAGATTGCACAAGATTAGATATCAATTCAGCAGCTGAGTGCTCAAGGCCCTTCTGAATGTCTGGCCCCAATCCATTGCCCAGGGTTCGGGAGGCTTGAGTTCCAACACTCCTGCCAATAACTTCCATGTACCTCGGGCAAGTTCTTTTTTCTCTAGCGTTAGACTAGGGAGCTAGATTACGTGGCCCGTTCCCATTCTGTCATCCTACAACTCGATGAGTTTGCCTTTCTCCTTTCCTCCATGGCACAAATGTTCTGCTCCAGCCCGACCCATTTTCCTATGCCTTCTACACACTCTAGACCACCAGGACAGATAGGCTGATTCTCACTCCTCAGTTTTGATTGATTGGCGACGGCTGCAGTGAGTCAGAGGAAACAGTACATCAACAATGTCTGCCACGGACAGGAGATAGAAGAGGGCTGGCACGTGTGCCATATATTTGCCCACGTCTTGCAGCCCTCCACCCTTGGACTCAGGCAATTTCCCTCTCCTGGAATGCTGTCTCTTCTTCTCCACCTGTTATTTCACAGTTCAGAAGCTTCAAGAAGCTGGGCTATCTCTCAGCACTCAGAAGCATCTTTCTCCCCTGAACTTTTTAAAGGTAGTGACTTTTGAGGGACACATTGTTTGTTTATAGTTTTTAGAGATTGTGAATAGAGCTGCTATAAGCAAATAAAATAATAAACAAAGCAAAACAAAGAAGGCCATGATGCTTCTGCTCACTGGACTTTGACCCCAGGCTGCCTGGTGAGGTTAAGCTTGTTCTGGTGAGTGTCTGTGTTCCCTCCCTAACAAGACCGTGAACTTGTAGGCATCTAGGCCTGGCTTGCTCCACTGTCTCCCACTGATGTAGCCTGGAGCTAGGCACGGAGCAGGCACTCAGAAGGGTTCACTGAGTAGAAAACTTGCGTATGCACAAGAAGGACTCCAGCGTCCGATCCTGGCCCCTAGAGACCGACGGTTGGGCCACCTGAGCTCAATCGACAGAGCAGGGAAGGTCCAATGGGCTTCGTCAGGCATGAGACTTAGAGCCGATTTCCCTAGAAGTTGGTTTCAAAATTGAGGAGGAGCTTTTGGATGAGAGGAGGTGGGGAAGTTCCAGCTGTGGGGAAAGTGTGAAGGCTCAGAAGTGGGAACCAAAGAATCTGCTCTGGGAAAGTCATTAGAGAGCTGTTCTAACGCTTTCCCTTCTTCCTACAGGAAGAATGCTTGTTGCATTTCGCCAAGTTGCTCTCAGCTTTTTCCTGCCTGTGTGCCATCCTTCTGCAAACCACCAGCACTGGCCGCCTTGCACAGCGATAATCAGCCTGTCAGTCAATAAACTGAAGATGTTGGTAGTGCTCTGGGATTGGTGGCCAGCAGCGAGAGCCCTGAGAGCTATAAATTCAAGATGAGAATTGAGATGTTGCCAAGGTTTCATAGAGTCCCTGATTTACTAGGAAATTGTTCCCTAGCCTCGACTGCTGGCCCTGTTATGCAGGGGACTCTGTGTGGGCTGGGGGGATGGTTGAAGGAAAGAAAAAATAAAAGACCAGAAGCCAGTGTTGAGACACAGCGGATAGGACACTCCCTACCCCATTGCATTTGGTCCCCTATGGTCTGCTATTTAACCTGTCTTAACCATGGTCTGATTTGCACGTGCTTGCTTATTTTCTCCAACTGTTTTATAGATCCCTTGAAGGCAGACACTGGCTCATATTTCTGGTGTCTGCCTCTCCCACCCCATTCTAGGCCTCTAGCACTCTAGGACCACACTGGGCTCATGGGAAAGCGGATTGATTAACTGGCTGAATGCGGAGGAGGAGGGGTTAATTAATCCTAGAAAGAAGGCCTCCCAGAGAAGTCCCCCCTGACTGCTCCCTGAGGACCATGAACCTCCCCTAGGCACCCTCTTGCCAGCCCAGGCCTTCCTGAGCCTGATCCTGCCATTGTGGGCTCTAGACTGGGCCTTCCTCCTTCAGTCTCTGGGGACGGGTTGCTGGCCTGCAGTTCTGAATATTTCAGTTGGCTCCATGCGTAGGGCCTGCTCCAAGGCCAATCTGAATGAATTTGGCCACCTCCCTGTTTTACAAGTCCCGTTCCTAAACTAGAGTCTACAAACATCTCCCTGCCTTCCTGCACAACGCGTGGCTCTGTTCCCTCAGAGAGAAAACAGTCTGAACCGTCCTGAGCCCATTTCCTCTCCAAGTTTTGCTAGTCTCTTCTCTCGTTGAGTAAGGATTTGCTGGGCCCTGCCCCTTGATGTGCATGGGACAGCAACCTGGGCAGCAGTTAGAGAACAGCAAAGGAGGGCCTTCACTCTCCTGGAGCTCCCAGCCCACTGCGGGGACCAGAACACAAGGCTCATTGCGAAACCCGTCGAGGCCACGTTCGCTTGATAATCACCACATGTGTGGAGAGAGAGCTCATCCCAGCCCAGCTTGGGCTCTCCTGGGTGGGCTGGGGTCTGGGAGGAACCCACAGGAAAAATGGGAAGAGAATGCCTCCAAGAGCATGGAAAGCCAGCTCAGCTACTCACCAGCTGTGTGACTTTGGGCAAATTACCTAATGTCTCAGGAGTTAGGTTCTTTATCCACACACCAAGTTTCCTGGTATCCTAGGAATCAGATGGGGCATGGCACAGAGCCGCAGCCTCGTTGCTACAAGGCTTTGAGAACACGCTGAGCTTGAGGCAGAGGTCCAGGCCAGCAGGAAGGGGTCTGGGGCCTGTGATCCTAAGCACAGCTTCTCATGAGCGCTAGGTGAGAGGGGTCACACCTGAGAGGCCATGGGGCCAGAACTCAATCCTTGAGATCAGGTGCCTCAGGCCTGGGCTTCAACTCACCCCTGTCCCTGCTTCCCTGGGTCCATGGCTGCAGTGAGCAAGTAAAAAAGAACCCCAGATGGGGGGCGGGGCAGAAGCCACATCAGCACCAACCATGGCAAACAAAGATGAGCTGTCTTCTAGGCTTGAGGTTGTTCATTTGCAAACAACAGTATTTGAGTTGCCACTGTTCCCTGCCTCCCAGGCCAACAGAGGCTGTCTGTGCACCCGCCCTGCCCCCGTCTAGGGCTCTGTCTCTGGCCTCCACCGGGGCCTTCTGCATGTGTCAATCCCTTGGTTCTCTGCAGCGGCTCTCAGACACAGGATCTGAGGAGTGGCAGCATCCAGACAAGGGGTCAGTGCTGGTTAGAAGGGAGTTTAGAAGGGGGACATTGGCAGTGGGGATACCCAGCAGCATGGTAAGTGGAGAAGGTATGTGCCTGTCACACCCCGGATAGCTGAACTCTGACCACAGCTCAGAGTCCCCCTCCCACCCCAAACCTCAAGGCCAAGGCACAGAGGTGGCCCTTGTCAGTACCCATCAGTCCTAGAAATCTAGGGCTCCAAGAACCTCTGAATTGGCCTCTTGAGACCCTGAAGCCTTGAGCCCAGGACAGCACATCTCCCTGATGTTTTGATAATGTCAGGGGCAGGCGCTATGCAACACATCCCTCCATGAGGTCAGACAACCCCTTTCTAGCAGTTCCTTCCTCTGGGATAAGCACTGTCTTATAGGACCTCGTCATGCAGTCACCTGCATCAGTCCCAACCACTGAACAAGCCAGGAGAAACTGGCTCAAAAGCTGGGTAGGGGTATAGGGCCTGGGGAAAGGGGAGACACTCCAGAGGTAGGGACTCAGCAGCTGGGCCAGTGAAGACATTCAGTACCCCACTAGCTGAAAGTGAGCTCTGGGAGACAGGTCCAGACCTTTGGAGCAGCAGCTGAGGAGTGGGCTTAGGAGACAGTGCATCTAAGAATATCAGTGGAGATAGATGTTACCCCATTCAGCTGCAGGACCACCTCCTGAGAAGAGGGATGCCCTTTCTTTGCTTACATGCTTAGTCCTTGTCTGCTCTCTGTCCAAAAGGATGAGGGAGTCAGAAAAATGCCACAGATATGTCGGCACAACTCCCCCACTTCCCACCCTAGGGTGTCAGCCTTCCCTGCGGGCTTCTCCACATCCCAGGCCTGGCTGGGAGGCTCCAGCGAGGGCAAGACCTCTGGTAAGGAAGCCGGGTTGACCCAGAATTCTTCCTCAGCAGGTTCGTCGCTCAGCCAGGAGGAGGTGCAGAGGAGCCTGAGTTATGGGTGCCAGAGATATCAAAGACCTCGGGTCCTGGGAGCCTTGAAGTCAGATAGCCAAGGGTAAAATCAGGGTCCCCCAGCTATGTGGCCTCTTAACCTCTCCTGACCTCATAGTTTTGTCCTGACCCCACAGTTATGAGAATTAAAGCAGGTGGTGTGTGTGAGAGTGCCTGGCACAGGGCAAGTGCTTATTCATGCTTAAAGTCTCCTCCCTGTGACTAGGGCAGACGGTGGGGCTATATCCCCAACTCCTCAGCACAACTTAGGAGCACAGAGAGCCATCCAGGAGCCCCTAGCCTGGGCTCAGTGCTAAGTCAGCTCTTAGCACCCTGCTTCTAAAAGGTCCTGGGCAGGCAGAGGTCAGAGCCCTGAACACCACCGTGCTGCGCTTGTCATGCTGTGCTGTGGATGTCCCCCTCCCCGCCACACACCCACAAGCATTGCTCCCATGTCTGAGTAAGTCAGTTTCAAATCCTTGATCCCACGCATTTCTCCTCTAAACTGGGAATATGGTGGTCTAGAAGAGCAAAACAAATCCTGTGGGTGGGAGAGCAGTGCCTCCAGCTTAGGCGCGGGGGTGGTGGGCCGGGTAGCTGACTGTATTTACAAGAATCCCAGATTTTTATTGCTACAGCTACAGAGCCTGCCTGTGTCCCCTCCACCCGTTGCCCCTGACTCAGGGCCCACCTGTCTGCCCAAGGCCTCTGAGGAAGTCCCCAAACACACTAGTCCTGGCCACCCCTCTACTTAATTTCAGATATCCAAATAAGGAGTTTTAAAGTGCCTCTGAGAGAAGCCTCAGGATGTGTACAACATTAGGCCATGAGAGCTTTGTAGCTTTGAGGCAGCTTGCTATAGGGTAAAAATGGAATGAGGTGCAAATCCAGGCAAGGTCAGGTGAGGTGAGGGAACTGGTGTCCCAAGTCCTGGGGACAGGATATCCACATTTGCTTGGTGGGATCAGACCAGCCCGTGGCATCTGAACCCCACCACTTACGTGCTGGGTGACCTTGGTCAGCTAGTTACCCTCTCTTAACTGAAGGGACAAGTTCCTACCTGTGGGGTTGTGAAGATTGAATGGGATCAGGGTGAAAAGTCGTTGACCCAGGCCCTGGCCCAGAGTCTGCAGTCAGTAGCTAGAATAACACAAATTATCTAAGCTAATGGCAACTCCATCTTTCCACCATCTCAAGCCAAAAACCATTGAATCATCCCTGACTCCTTTCTCTCTCGCATCCCACACCAGAACCATCAGCAAAAGCTGTCATCTCTCCCGACAGCCGGGACACCACCTGCTCTCACCATCTCCTATTGCTCTGCCTGCGTCCACACCACCATTGTCCCTCACCTGGGTTATGGCTGCAGCATCCTGGCGTGTCCCCCAGTGACCCCTTGGTCTTTTCTTAGCACAGAAGCCAGAGAAATCAGACTCTCCATGGCTCCCTATTTCACCCAAGTTCATGCAATGGCCAGGAAGACAGCTCGTGATCTGCCCCTTGTGCTAACCGCCCTGACCTCTACTCCCACCACTCTCTCCTGGTTCCTCTGCCCCAGCCTCTGCCCTCCTGAATCTCAGCACACAGGCATAGGCTCCTCTTGCCTGGGGCGCACGCCCCCGATACCCCACGACTCAGTCTCCCCTTTCCTATGAGGCCTACCTTGACTGCTCCCCGCCCCTAGCCCAGACCCCCTTCATTCCTTTACCTACTTCACAGGTCCTTTCTTTTTTTTTGACGGAGTTTTGCTCTTGTTGCCCAAGCTGGAATGCAGTGGAGCAATCTTGGCTCACCGTAACCTCTGTCTCCCGGGTTCAAGCCATTCTCCTGCCTCAGCCTCCCAAGTAGCTGGGATTACATGCACCCACCACCACGCCTGGCTAACTTTTTATGTTTTTAAGTAGAGATGGGTTTCATCATATTGGCCTGGCTGATCTTGAACTTCTGACCTCAGGTGTTCCACCCGCCTCGGCCTCCCAAAGTGTTGGGATTACAGGCGTGAGCTACCATGCCTGGCCTACTTCACAGGTCCTTTTGCCCACAGCACTTAGCACATTCTAGCTTCCCATGTAATCTACTGATTTAATCTGTGTTTTGTTCCCTGCTGTATCCTAGACACTTAGAACTCAAAAAATATTTGTGTGTGAGTGATATAATCTCACAACAATCCTATGAGGTGGTTAAGTCAGCCTACTTATTTTAATGACAGAAACCCCAAGTTTTCCATGCTTAAGCTGTGATTCTCTCCAAGTGTCTGGGGTCAGGGTCAGGGTGACAATGAAAACGATGGCCCCCAGGAATGCCCAGCCCCCTCCCCTTTATGATTCCCCCACCCAGCATGCTGGCCACTTGAAACACTCTGGCACATGCAGAGATGCAAACCTATTCCTTTGGCTACCTTCTGCACAGCTGAGGCCAACTAGAACTTTCCTGAGTCTTTCCTACTTCCCACTAAGGGAGGAAATCAGGGAAATTAACACAGAGAACATAAGAATCATAAAAACTGTCTGGCTTACAAAGTGAAGCCTTCTTACAAAGCAGAAGGGACTGCTCTGTTTCCAGTACCTTCTGAGGTG